GCTCTCCGCCCTGGCCCGGCCCGCAGGCGCTGCCCTCCGCCGCAGCTTCAGCACCTCCGCCCAGGTAGGCCTGGCCGAGGGCGGTCTGCGCGCGGGGGGCCGGGGTCCCCTGTATGCCCGGCTCGCGGGCAGCGCTCGTCCCGGGAGCTCCAGGCACCGATCAGGGGCTGGGACTCCGATGACCAGCAGGAGAAAAGCACGAGAGAGCTCCCGGGAGGCGGGGAAGTAGCGCCAGCATCGGTGTGCTGCAGCGTGAACGCGCTTCCCGGGGTCCTCTTCCCTTTTGCACGCCTTCAAGGTTGAGAACCAAGGGCTTTAGGACCGAGAGTCATTGACAGCTTTATGTAGCTTGGCCGTGACTCCAGTGTCGAGAGCAGCATCGCAGAGACACCTTGAATCAAAGCAAATGAAGTTTATTCAGGGATCCCGAGAAACCCCCATGGCCACGGTGAAAATGGCCGCTCTCAGATTGGGGAAGGGGTGCTGTTGGAGGGGATCTAAAGGTTACGAAACTCGTAATAGGCTAAAAAAAAATCATTGGAGAATTAAAGAAGGGTTATCTCGAAGCTACAATGTGAGAGCAATCCTGCTTGTAAGTAGGATTAAAGGGTGGTGGAAGGACTGGGCCCTCCAAGTTGGTTGTAAAAGGGGTCCCGGGGCAGTGACAAGACAGATTTTTCTCCAACCCATTAGTAAAAATTGCTTCTTGTCGTCTGTATGTTTCTGGAGACTTCTTGTGAAGATTTATCAATAATGCTGTAAACCAGGATGCTGGGATAGATAATAATAGTTTTGTACCTGCTACACTTCAGAGAAAAGGAATGTCATCTTCAGGGCATGTGGCTAGGTCAGCCACAAGGTTAAAAGAATTGCTGTCGCAGAAGGCAGCTTTTAAAGATCCAACGTGGATTGCAGACTCCCATCAAGATTTTATAATGGAATTAAGGCTAGTGGGTCAGGAGTTGCGATGCCAATCCAAAGGTAGGTAGTGTGGATCCACCAGCTGGGCGGCTCCTTCCATGTGGTTTAAACCTGATGGAGAGACAGCTGCGTGTTGGTACTGACTTAACAGCAGTGAAGCTTGGTGGTTTTATTTGCACACCCATCAAGTGCTTCTGAGTTTAGGCTCTCATCCAACGGTAATCTCATCTTTCCTGCTATATCCAGATGAGTTGTGCTGGATTAAAAGAAATACTTGTTCATTTAATACAGGCAAACTGAAGTGTGTGGGTCAATGACTCACCCAAGGTCCTAGAGCAGTTTGGCCAAAAGATGAGAATTCTGCTTTCCTGCTCATTGTCAGAGACTTAGGGTTACTAAGTCTTCCTGTGTGAAGACTGCTTCCTCAAAGGGGCAACAGGATCTTTCTAAAGACTCCTTCCTGCTGTGTGTGGACAGGACCCTACCTCTGTGTGTTGTGAAAGTGCCTCTCTCAGCCTGGGACCTTTAAAGCTGAAGCTATTTTTAACCATCTTCTTGGACAATGGTTTTCAAACTTTGTCATGTGTCAGAATCTCCCAAAAGCTAGTAAAATACAGAGGCCAAGGCTCAGTGAGACAGGCCAGGACCTGGGTCTTTGGTGCTTTTAACCAAGGGCAGCTTGTTTCAGTACTGTGACAATCAAGAATCAGGTAGTCCATTTTATCTTAAATACCTCAGCCAAATGGAGGTGATTTATTAGAGGCTATTCCAGATGGGGAAGACCCTCTATGAGGTGGATTGATTCAGTGACTGGGGTAATCGGGATGGGTGTATCAGAGGCAATGAGATTGGCACAGGATAGAGCAGGGTTTAG